TTCCCCTCCCCCTCCTCCTCCTCCTCCTCTCTTTCTACCCTTTCTTGTTCGTCCGAATCCTGTAGTTGTGCATGAGTTGTTAACTGAAAATGAACTTTCAGTTTCTTTAAATGCGCTCGAATGTCCTGTACAGACACATCTGTATTTATCGTGCATTCGCCATTCCTCTCACGTCTAGGGGCGTCCTTTGTCTGCTTAGGCAAGTCACGTGGGGTACGCTTGCGGGACCGATACGCCATTTTGGAAATGTTTTTCTCTCTTCCCACGCCGGAAGCAGCGTCCTGTCTCCCCGGATTTCTTGACGCTCCTTGAGATGTAGATCCAGGCCTTTCGCCACCACTTTTTGGTTTTACAATCGTCTGAGACATGTTCTCTTCAGACACCGAGGACTTTGTATCTATGAGGGATTTGCTCAAAGAGGACGACCCGTATCTCTCTGGGTCTACAGGGCTGCCTTCCGCCTCTGTATATCCCTCAGGGGTTTTGTTTTCGTGGCTACGATATGACCAACGCAAAGGCAAAAACCATCTGGACACCAAGCGTCTAAGCGTAGAACTAACAGAAGTTGTTGGTGCGTTTGCTGTAGTTTTGCTCTTGTAACCATCGATCTCTCGGCCTTTGCCACGCTCAGAGGAGTCGTCTTTTTGGAATGTTTTGTCTTCAGTGTTTGGGGTCCCAGTACTGTTTTTACTGAAAGGGTTGTAACCCTCTTGAATCAGCTTCTCGAATTGTGAAAACATCGTGTTGAAACGAGTCGGCCATTGCCTCTCCTCCACCATCTCTATCTCGGCCCCGACGGCGAGTCGGAAATACCGCTGTAGCTCTGATGACGTCATCACAATGCGATGTCCAACAGCGAACGGGTGCTGGATGCACAGGACCAGGTTGGGAGACGAGATTTTCTGCGTCAGGAACAGACGGAAACCTTTGTCCCTGTGCGCCGTCTTGTAAGCGAACGGCGTCAGCCGGAGTGGGTCAACCCCCAGCGCTGTCATCACTTCCACGTGGTCAACTTTCTCCAGCTTTTTCCTCGGTTTCAAGGCAAACTTCAGCCTACCAAAGTCGAGCTCATAGAACTCGTGAGAAATGATGACAAAATAATTCTGGCGTTTGTCCTTCAGAAGAAAAGTGAGGCACCCGACAGATGGGCCAATGTCTTTGCTATCTGAAGAGGAAATATCAATGTCGCGATATGAGATCCCAAAATTGGTTAAAGTTTCATAAAAATTTTGGACTTCTGGTAGCAATCTTGACTGCTTGGTTAAAAGTAATTCTTGTTCTCCGGGGTCGTTTCTCAGGGACACGTTCGCTGCATCTTCAGCCAATGGCTTAATCTTTTCACAGGAACTCGGAGTGGCTTCGTGATCTCTCTGATCTGGCTCGGCGCTTTGTTCAGAACCGTTGTTCTTTCTTAGGTAAGATTTGAGCTTTCCCTTTCGGCTGTACCCACTGAACCTCACAAAAGAGGACGTGGACACCGGAATTGTTCCTGCACTGTGTGGAGACCGTGCTGGTGTGACGATGCAAGATTGTGACGGAGCAGAAATTTCATCTCTGACTGGTTCTTCCTCGCGTCGTTTTTGTCTGGGTCTTTCAGTTTTGGCTCTGGCTCACATTGACTTTGTTTCGGTCTTTCAATTCCTGGCTCTGGTTCAGATTGTCTTTGTTTCGGTCTTTCAATTCCTGGGTCTGGTTCAGATTGCCTTTGTTGGGGTCTTTCAATTCTTGGCTGTGACCCACATTGTCTTCGCTTGGATTTCTCAGTTCTAGGTTCTGGCTCAAATGGTGTTTGTTTGGGTCTTTCAGTTCCTGATTCGTGGGTTTCTTTTTCTGCAGTTTTCTCTCCAGAACCAACAAGCTGAGTGGAACTTTCGTTGTCTACGCGCTCTCTGGTGGCCTTCACCTCTCTCGTGACTGAGACATTGGTTATGGACTGTTCGCCTTTGTGGACACCAGTCTCGTTCGGTTTGGAATTTGTAGAAACATTGGTGATCTCATTATTATTGAGTATATTTCTTTTCTTGCTCTCTGGCTTCAAAGAAGTAGGTTCTTTTGACCCAGTCATTGGAGGCTGCGATGTGTCATCTTTCCCCAGTAGTTGCAACGTGTGTCCAAAGCTTTTTACAAAGACTTCGAGTTCCTTAAATGTTATCTCCACCTGTAAAGTTGAATCCATGGGATGAAACGCCAGTCTTGTGTCAGACGCAGTCAATGTCCTGTCAATTGCTAGCTTGATATTTTTGGCTGAGTCGAGCATGACTGAGAAGGGAGAGACATACCCAGGCTCTACTCGGAGAATCGACCACATGGAATCTTTGTCCGCGAAGGAGAGGTTCCGGTGAGCTGTTAGCTCTTGCTTCAGTTGCTTCAAGTCCACAGATGAATTTTCGCTGACGATAACGAGATAGAATTGCCCTTTGCGGTCTTTTAGGAAGAGATTTTTGCAGTACAACAAAGCAGCGGGACAATGTGTTTCTGAACTAGCATTACCGATTCCCGACGGGGAAATCCCAGAGAGTTCTTCTTTACAATCGCGCCGTGGTTTAGGGGTCTTTGTGAACTCGGTGTCGTCATAGTCAGAGCAAGCTCGCCCATCTTTGTTCTCTTCAGGAGAGCTCTGAGACCTGGGCTGCTCCGCCAGACGAGCATAAGGTTTCGGACAAGCTTGAATACCAAGTCTCTGGAAACAGAACATGAGAGCCTTCACGTAGGCAGTCTCGTGGTATTCATCGAGGCCCGTGGCAGTCTCAGATGATCCAACAGTAGCATGGGCTGAGGTCGAAGATCCCGGATCATCTTTATACTCTTGGGTCAGGTTATCACTCTCGTGGGATGATGAAAACCTTTCATGAGTCTGGGAACTTGACGTTCCACCGGCATGCCGTGAGGAAGTAACGGTGCAGAGTGAGCTGCCGTCACCCCCCGTTATATTACTACCCAGGTCCGGGCTGGCCTCGGCAGTGTGATCATGACCATGTCGTCGCCCACTCTTCTCTTTTCGCACATTCTGGCATGGCTCCGCCTCCAACCCCCACTCCTCCATCGTGCACTTCTCGTTTTCTGATGCGCTTTTTGTGTAAACGAATTCCATATTGTGTGCCCCGCCGTAGCGGGGCTTTTGGCAAGCCATGATGGGACACGGGCTCGAACCCCTGCCTCATGCTGGGCAGGGTTAGCATCTGCACCACGGAGCACATGTAAATGCGCTCCCATCCTGTCCCTAGGTATAGACAGGGGTGCCCTCAACAGCTGAGGACACGAACTAGACGGCATTTTCACCTGTCAAGGATGTACTGTAAGGTCGACCTTTTTGAGGTTTAATTAACAATGTTGTAACAAGAACTATTTTGAGTTTTAAGGCAATAAATTTTCACTATACATGTAAATACAACATGAGTAGGAAGTAGATCTACATGCACTACCTTAAGATTATTCCCATTGCTAGCAATGTGTTCAATGGGGTTGTTGTTTTTTCTTTCCTCCTCAATGAAGAGAAATAAATACAAATCAAGAACTAAGAACAATCATTTATAGATAATCAGTCAACGTTACAAGGAGGTCTTCAACAACTTTTAAACAATATTACGTTATGAAGACTAAATGTAGTCAGACAAAGAAATTCAGCAGAATCATCAAATGCCCATGATCGAAGAATGTCCAGGACCACTGATACACTGAAAGGTAATCGTAATTTGAAAGCTACCTAGTAAGAACAAACGGTTTAAAGATCCATAATATCGTCTTCCATTTCAGCGCCTGTCTACAGAGTGAAAACTTCAAGTAACAGCTGTGTGTGCGTGTGTGCGTGTGTGTGTTATTGAGTCTCTCTAAGTAAGCAACATCGTTCAAATTCAAGAAATTCAAGAGTAAACCAATCTCAGATGACAAAACTGTATAAGTTATAAGCCGGTGGCATTGATCGAGGGAACAGCTTGACCACTCGCTGCAATCAAAAACACAAACGTGGTACTGTTTCTTCTCCAGGAGTCGTTTTACAGTTATCTCAAGCAAAAAGCCATTTTACAGTAATCTCAAGCAAATAGCCATTTTACAGTTATCTCAAGAATGAGCCATTTTACAGTTATCTCAAGCAAATAGCCATTTTACAGTTATTTCAAGAATGAGCCATTTTACAATTGTCTCAAACATTCATTTTGCAGTTGTCTCAGTCATTCATTATACCCAAGAATGAGTCATTTTACAGTTATCTCAAGAATTAATCATTTTACAGCTATCTGAAGAATGAGTCATTTTACAAATGTCTCAAAAATGAGCCATTTCACAATTGGCTCAAGTATGCATCATATCGTTATCTCAAGAAGCCATTTTACAACTATCTTAATAAAGAAAGAAGCACTTTACAGTTGTCTGAAAAATGAGTCACTCTACGTTTGTCTCAATCATTCATTTTGCAGGGTCTCAATCAATCATTATACTGTTGTCTTTAAAAATTACTCCACAGATGTATCACGAATGAGTCATTTTGCAGGTGTCCCAAGCAATAATTTTACAGTTGTCTCAAGAGGTATTGTAGCTGCTTGGCCCTACAACGGCGCGGCTGAAGTTCTGTTGTTCAACCACGAGGGTGTGAGGACGCGGGAACGTGTCTGTGGTCACTGGAGGAGATCCAGGCGTTGGTCTGTGTCAGCTGATCTGACGTCACAGTGGCAGGTGCAGCTTGTCTGTGGAAGAAACCAAAAAAAGAAATCCATAAATTCAGAGCGACAGTGATCAGTTATCTCTGAAGAAATGGGAGGCATCGTGGTGAAATAAGACGCTCGATAAAATAAAGACATAAAAGAAACTGGTATTTTTCCGCTTGTTAGACAAAAAAAATGTTATCGTTATTGTTGTTTTTTCAGGGGAAAGGGGGTGGGGGGGTTGCAGCATTTTTTACGTCCAGTTAAAAACACAATTTTGCATTGATTTTTCCTTGATAAAATAACAATCAAAGGCACTCGAAACGAAAATGTGCAATTTCCAAGGACACCCAAGCCTACTCCTACTCCTTTTCAAGATATATGGGGGGGAGGGGAGTCTCATAAAAAGCAAGACAAATGAACAAGTTTCAAGATGATATCAATAACTCTACACATAAAAAAGCCCAAAACAAAGCAATACAAAACAAACAAAAACGAACAAAAAATGACGACTGCCAGATTCTACGGCGTAGCAGTTGCGAAACAATAAATGAGAAGACCCTCAAAGTTCTATCTGCTCTGTACCTAATTTTGAGAAATTTGACGCCAAACATCTTTTAGTTTCACAATAATAATAATAATAATAAT